ATTTGCATAGTATAATATCTCTTAAGAACAAATACTAGCAATAAAATAAAAACGTTTAATATCAGCCAAACTTTTTAAAATCAAGATACAATTCTCATCATTCAGATGAAAATTAAAAGATGAAAGGATGTGGAGTGAAGCTGAAGTGGATATAATCACCTACATATTGTCAAGAACTTTTTTTTTCTATTCTTTATAATTACTTCTATATTATCATGAATTGAGTGTGAATGAATAGAACACACAGGTATACTCTACCCTTGACTATTTTATCCAAGAGAAATACAACTTTAAATTTTGAAAAACAACTTTTAATGCGCTAAAAAATTCAAAAAAAAGACCAGATGGCTGCGCACTAGTACAGTCAATTTTTTGATTAGAACAATCTAAATGCCGGTTGTGGTTTTATATGAATTGACTCGTGAAACATTGTCAATTGCTTTTATTCTCTCCTGCAAATTTTCTGTTGTGATTTTTTTTGCACACGTTTATTGAAAGGACAAAAAGAGAAAGAACAAGGACAAAAAGAAAAAGAACGAGAATAAAAAGAAAATTGTTGACTGTTTATTCTTATACCGCAACATATGAAAATGAAGGAGAAAAAAAAATATATTGGTTATATTCTGGTTTTTGATTAAATGTTTCTTTCCATTGATATAAACGTACAGGTCAAGGCTTGTTGATGTTTAGAATATTTTCAAATGTTCTCTTGAAAACCCTTCAAACTAAAAATACAAGTATTCTTATATAACAAACCATATTCGATTTATAGAAAATAAAGTAAGAAAAGATTTGAATTCTTTTTTATTGATTAATTTTTGAAAGAAATCAAATAGATTAGATTTTCAATCTTAATCTCAATATTGACTGATGACACTTCAGACCGGTGATACATATTATAACAGAAAAAAAAACCCGAACGAACAATAAGATTTTTTGTTGTCGTTTATTTATTTACTCTTATTATCAAAAAGTTTAATTTATTGTTGAAATTTTTCTCAAACCAATAAAATAAGTGAAAACAATTTTAAGCAAATTAATCATTTTTTATGAATATAAAGAAATATTTTCGGTTAGAATTTCTCCATTAGAAAATTTAATGGTTATAAAAGAAATTTCAGCAAAAAATATTTCAAAATAAATAACAACTTTTTTTTTCTGTTTTATGATTCTGAAATTGTTTGCTCTGATAAGATCAATTAATTGAAATAGAATGAAAATATCTCGTTGTTTTCAACAAAATCTATCATATTAGAAAAATATTTCATTCGGTTGTTATTATTCAATTGAAAAGTTTTCATTTATTTATTTTATTTCTCAATAATTAGATGATGAAATTTTTTCATTATTACAATAATAATAAAATTTTCTTCAATCTGAAATATTCTATGAAGAGACACATTTCCTTTTTTTTTCAAAATAAACGACAGGAACGCATAAGAATCATTATTGAGTCTTACTCAGTTTCCTTCCATTTATAGCTTATCTAATGAAAAATTTCACGAAGAATCATTTCATAAAAAAATTAATCTATTTTGGAAATATCCAGATCCATGTTTTTGCCCAAAATATTGACATAAACTTACTCATCACAAATCGATGATTCATAGATAGGAGAATGAGACATGTAAACTTTCCCATAGAAATACATTTCATATAAAAACCTATGTTAATCAGCTAATCATCCTACAGTCTATCCTGAGTGCAAATCTCAGTTCGAACGATTGAAGTATTGCTGAGTACTAATATAAAGGGTGTGTAATAATTTCTGATGTTCTTCGAGTAACATATTTTTTTCTTATGTTTTTTCAGTAGAATAGACTGATATTTGCAGCATATGTGCTAGAATTTCAGCTTTCTACCTCTTATAGTCAGAAGGATACAAGTAATGTAAAATTAATGGGAATTTTTTTATTTATTTGTTCGGATTTTTCTGCAGTTTTATTAAGGATGTTAAATAAAAAAAAATAATGGTTTTAATAAGATTTACAAATCGAAATTCTTTAAACATGAGATGCAAAAAAGAAAAGGAGTGTCAACGTATATGTATCTGTCCTTCATCTTGATCTATCAAAAAGATCGTGCAATTTTTCTCTATTAATAAACACGTGAATAGGTGACAGAACGCAGAAGTGACACATAGAAAAATAAAAATTACTCATTATGAGAGATTGATCGAATAACTATAATATTTTCACCTGTGCTCTATTTTGTAAAAATAAATCAAAAATTTCCCATTAATTTTAGGTTATTTGTATCTAACTAGCCTATTCTACTGAAAAAACATGCAAGAAAAGAATATTACTTGAAGAGGATCAGAACTTATTACACACCCTTTATATATTTATATTGTTCTGAACGAGTATAAGTATAATTATGCTTATATTATCATCTCTATTCAGTAGTTTCTAAATATCTAGAGAAAAGAAAAAAGTCACATGAAGTTTTGATCGATTCCGGTAGCTGGAAGGAAGGACTACCAAACCATATCATTATTAATTTTTTTTTTGTCGAGATAAACTTTGTTAGATAGGTGAACTTGAACTTCGTTTGGACATCATTTTTACATTTTTGATTCGTATTTAACAGATTTTATTAACAAAACGTATAATTATGAATCAAAACCAATAATATATTTGAAATGACTATAAGAACTGACGAGAGAATCTTTTCAGATAGCCCTTCAATTTTAATAATTCTTTTCCTATAGATACTGTTCAATACTCTAGTACAAGTCTTTTAACACATTTGAAGTGATTCGATTTTCTTAGAAAATAGCTTTAACAGATTCATTTTCATGTGCATTCATTTTTCGATAAATGCACTCGTTAGTCTTTTCAGTGTGTGGTAACAGTTGTTTTTCTTTTTCTTGTTTACATTCCTACATAGGTAGTTCTCTTTCACATCGAACTGAATAATTATTCAAGTTTGTTTTTTTTCTTTGCTATATATATTGCGTAGTAGAAACGAGATGACAAAACAAAATTTCGATTTATTAAAGACCAGATGATAATTGATTAACATTCTTGGCTCACTTGTTACTATCAATGAAATACTGGTACCATGGCGAGGTAGACTACTCTTCAAACAATAAATTCCTGGCTAATCACACAAATATTGTCTTAAGATATATAAGGTAGCTAGTACGAATGGATACATTTGGAATTTATAGCTTATACTAGGAAGCAGAATCCAATGGCTGATCGTGATCGTCCTCAAATAGCCATAATGAATTTATTAGAAGATCTTTTGGAGTGCTATAGAACTGTAGTAGCTGATAACTTCTTTATCCATATTTCCCTTGCAGAATGTTTGTTGAAGAATAATACGTATCTTTTGGGGACATTGAGAAGTAATCGTACTGGATGATCAAGAAACAGAGTTGGGCAGAAAAAGCTCAAGTGAGGTGAAGTTTATGAACTCCAGAGCAAAAACAATACAATGTTGATCAAATGGAAAGATAAAAGAGACGTTTTAATAATATTCACAAAATCATCACATTCAACAACTGTGATGAACACCAAGAAAACCAATAAATTAATTGAATGCATCGTATGAAGTCACAAGTTGTACTCGATTACAATCAAGGAAAATAAGCTATTGATTTATCAGATCAGCGTATATCTTAGACAATCTTTAATATGATATCAAAAGGTATGACCATTTTGCAGTTTCGTGAAACTCTTTTACAATCTCGACTCCTTGGTATGTTATTCGAGAAACTGAAATCTGGTCTGAGACAACATTCACCAAGCCATTTGAAGTGCAAACTCGTTGATCAAATGCTGGAAGAAAAGGAATGACCTGCGCACATAGTCTAAAGACGTTGTGCTGGCTGCTATGAAAAAGACTGTGTTTTTCTCGATTGCTTTGAAGAGAAACATCACGCTATACAATAAATAATTCAAACAACAGCGAAGGCAGGGTAGATGATACATTACGTGTAATCTCTTGTCTAAGAGAAAAAGGAAAAGAAAGTGTTTTTCTATTAAGTTTCTTTTTAAAGTATAGTGGGATCCACCAATGGGCTCCATCGCCTTGAATATGTTGAGATTTTTTACTAGAGCATTGAACACCATCTATAGGTAAAAAAATCATTGAAATCAGAGAGGCGCACCTGAAAAGGTTCTCTCGTCAGTTTTTTTATGATCATTTCAAATATGCTATTGATTTTTATTCACAATTGTACGTTTTCTTTTTATCTAACAAAGTTCATCTCGATAAAAACATTAAAAATGATATAGTTTGGTAATCCTTCCTTTGAGCTGTTACAGAATCGATAAAAACCTCATGTTGTTTTTTCCTTTCTCGATATATTTAGAAACTACTGAATAGAGTTGATAATATAAGCATATTATACTTATGCTCGTTCCGAACAATATGTACATATATCAGTACTCAGCAACATTTCAAGTGTTCGAGCTGAAACTTGCATCCAAGATACACTCTAGAATGATTAGCTGATTAACATAGGTTCTTATTCGAAGTGTCTTTCTATAAAAAGTTTCCATGTCTCATTCTTCTATTTTTGAATCATCGATTTATGATGAAAAATTGTATGCAAATATTTTAAGTGAAAATGGATCTAAATACTTCAGAAATAGATTTATTTTGTTATGAAATGATTTCTCGTAAAATTCTACATCAAGCAAGTTATAAACGGAAGGAAACTGAGGAAGATCCAAAAATGATTCTTAGGTGTCCCTGTCCTTTAAATATCAATTTATTTTTATTGAAAGAAAATTAATTATTTTAATTATAAATTCTCATTTATATTGTTAATCATTTTAATAAAGATTCTTAAAAAATAAAAATTATAAAATAAATTCATTTAAAATATTTAATTTTATCCGAATTTGATATTAAACAAGAAACTTTACAGGTGAAGTTTATTGATTAAATGAAACCATGATAAGGAAAAAAACTTATTGAAAAAAAATTTTTTTTTGAAACAGAAATAATAAATATTTAATTTAAGAATTTCTTTTTTTTTATTAAAGATGATATCATTAACAAATGACGAAAGACACAATGAATTTAATAACAGCGCACGTTCGAATCTTCATCATCCTCATCGACGTTATATTCTTGAAAAGCCTGATTATTCAAGAAGAACAAACGCATCAATTAATGATGAGCAACAAGCAAAATTAAATAATAATTTTCTTCAAAGACAAATCAAACCATCAAGTTATTCAAAAAATGAACATAAATTTCTTTCTCATCCAAATATACATTATTCAAAATACAATAATAATAAAGAACAAGATTTGAAATTTAATTTAAATAAAAATTTATATTCGAATCATAACTATGAAATAAAATTATCACGAAATCAAAATGAAAATATTAATGATCCATATGTAAGAACAATACTTCAAACAGATTACGATTTATCTACTTTAGATCGAGAAGAACCAGAAATTCAAATATTAAATGTTAATCATTATCAAACAAATAATTTAAATTTAATTCCACAATATTATTCTCATGACGAAAATAATAATCAAGATGATTTCGAAACACAAATTCTCGATCCATATCAATCACCTTTTATTATTAAAGATAAAAATAAAAAAATAAGTCCAACTTCATCTCAATGTAAGATAAGAATTATCTTCTGATCTATGTTCTGTTTTTTATTTTTTTATTTTTGAAAGTAAATCGTTCATCTCGAAAATGGATTCTTCAACCACCCACTTATACACCAATAAACTCGAATAATTTTTCATTAAACAAAAATATTCATCCACATGACAAAGATAAATTCAAATCACGAAAAACAGATATTGATGAAGAAGAAAGTCTTTTTCAACAGGAAAACAATTCAATTTATCCAAAACATCATACACGTAACAATAAACAGTAAGAATTTTATCATTTATTTTTTGTTTACAAAATTTTAGCAAACAATGACAAAAAAATTTCCTTTTGTTGATAAAAATCTACAATGAAAAATCCACCTCAAACGAAAACAACGATTTACCTTAGGCTTAAATTAACATAATAAAATGTAGTATTTATCAAAGAACGTCACAGGATCTGCCCTGGAGGGATATCATAATACCCATAACTCGGGTATCAAAATTCACAATACAGTTATTAAGATATTCACTTAATGTATTTGAGATACCCATATGCTGCTAAATTCAGAATTTTCATTGAATATAATGTAACGAGATAAATACTCGACTCGATGCTCATGTGCAATGAAGCTGACAGTTTTAAGTGAACTTGGCGTAACGATATGAGTACACAATCTCAGATCCATATATCTCTAAAGTTTAGGACATTGAGACAAGGCTATGGGCATGGGTTTTATCTTGATATCTAAAATCAACTCAATTGTTCGAAAACAATAATTCTTTCAAAAAAAGAATGTTCCTACTCATGTGATAAAAACCGGCGATTAACCACAATTTTATCGATCCGATTACCGACTCCCGCCGCTACAATTTACCGCGGTTTACCGCTAAAATAAATCGGTTAACCGGTTCGCCAATGATCATTGATATTTAGTTGTTCCAAATCATCGATTTTGCTATTTTAAATGTTTTTTTCTTGTACCTTCCCATGTCATAAAAATGCTCGGAAAAACCACCGATTTACCGCGGTTTCACTGATCCGGTTACCGGCTCCCGTTACTGCAATTTACCACTAAAAACTGTCCGGTATTTACGATATGAGTACTTTTGATCGTGCATTAGGCTTACGAGTGACAAATGTATAGACGAAATAAGTGTTTATTCGCGAAAAAATGTCATGTCCATATGATGAGTTACATCACACACTGTCTGCTAGATACCAGAAAATAATAAGAAGAAGAATTTTTAACAAAATTTTATTAATTAAATAATTGGCGAATTTTGATTCTTTTTTTTTTTAAATATTAGATTATTTCATTTCGAGAGAAAATGAAAGCTAAATAGGTTGATTAAAAATGAATTCAATGATAGATTTATTTGAATTCTATTTGTCAACTATTTTATTTCATTTCTTGAAAAATTAATTTAGATAATTAATTTAAATCAATATGAAACAATCGAAATCATAAGAAATTTCGCTTTTAATTGTTTTATTTTAGTAAAAAACAAAATACTAATAATGAAAAAAATGAAAAAAAGAATATATGGAATTTATATTCTTCTACAGAGAAACGAAATATATTTATATATATAATTGGAATAATGTTATATAAATTTGGATTAGAAGCATTTAATGGATCAATTGTTAGTTTAGCAACAAATCGTTATGATCGAGATGCATCTAATAATGAAAGTGTAGCTCGAACATTTGAAAAAGTTGGTTTATTAGTTGGTTTTAATCAAGCATGTCAGTGTATTGGATCAATATTAATTGGTCCATTAATAAAACGTTGGCCAACACGAACTGTTTTATCAATATCAATATTTATTTTTGCATTATTTACAGCATTACTTATGATTATTGATGCAGCAACTGGAGGAAAAATAAAACCATCAAATTTTCAAGCAATGCATGAAAATGATTATAGTTATTATGGAAATTATCCAACAACTGTAATTATTCCAATTTATTGTGTAACTGGTATTGCTTATGGAATGGTTGAATTAATTCGAAGAGTAATTCCTGGTGATATTGTTGGAAGTGATGATGAAAAATTACAAAGAATGGATGCTATAGTACATGTTTTTTATGAAATAGCTGGAGTTTCTGGAGCATTAATAACTGGTGTCGTTTTAATTCCACGTCTTGGAAATAATTATTCATTTATAATAACACCAATTCTTTTTAGTTTATCAGCTGTAGTTTGGATTTTTATTAATACACTTGGAACAAAAACCAATGTTGAAGATGAAGAATTTCCAGTAGGAAATCAAAGTCATAAAACAAATTATTTTAAAGCTCTTATTAATGGTTTTGTTCTATTTGGTCAATCAGTTTATCTTGGAGGAAAAATAATATTTACAAATCGAAAATATTTTTGGTTATTTCCATGTTATTCATTAACACTTTATATTCATCGTTATATTGAAAATGCTATTGCTCCTCAAATAGCTAAAAGATATCTTCAAAATTCTGAATGGTCACAAATTATTGTTGGAGGATCTAATTTTGGAGAATTAATTGGAGCTTTATTTGTTTTTTTTTTAACGAAAAAAATTCGAAGTCCACTTGTTTGGTTAAGATTAGATTCAATTTTATTATTTATTGTTTGGTATTTACCATTTTATAATCCATCATCAATTACTGTTAAACATGCTTGGATTATAGCATTATCATTTATTCCATTTGGTTTTGGTTCAGCAGGTGATGATGTTTCATTAAATGCACATATACAAGCATCTTTAAGTAAACCACAATTAAAAAATAAAAATGTTTCATCATTAGGATCTGTTATGGCCTTTCTTTATTCATGTTATATTATTCTTTATGCTATTTTAAATCCCTTACTTGGAAGATATATTGATTCAGTTTATAATTCAAAACAAACAATAAGACCAGCTTTTATTTTTACTGTCGGTGTACAAACAACAATTATTTCAATTATAGTTTTTCTATCGACATTTATTCCAAAAGGTTCTTTTAAATTAAATCCAGTTTTAGAATAAATATTTTAAATCAATAATCTTTTTTTTTGTATAAAATAATTCTTAAAATTCTTTTTTTATATTTTATTTGGAGTTAATCAAAAGTATTTTATATTAAATGTTCAAAAAAGTTCCACATTATTTCGAACAATTTGTTAAAAGTTTTCTTTAAACTCTTCGTCTGGAATATTTTTAAGTATCTTGAAAACGGAAAAAACAAATTATTTTTCATTTATTTCGTCATTTAAATTACATTTGACAGAATCATTTAGCTAAAAATAACAAATTTTCAAGGTATGATGAAAACGGTAGATGCGGTATTATATTGGTATCTTTTTGTGTTAAAGAATGGATAGAACCTGGATGAGTATTAAGTTGCACATTGTTATGAAGTAATTCTATATCTTTGTTTCCATATTTCATCGACAACAGATTTGAAGAACTTTCAATTTAATAGTTATGAACTGCAGTCAGTCTTTCCTTTATCTATACTATGTATAAGAACAGGATCATTTGATTTAAAGAATATAAAAAAAACAAAGTTTTCGGTTCATATTGATTTCGGTGCACAATAGTCATTGGTAATTCATCTCCCGTGATCTAGCTTACGTTAGTTGACTTGTACTCAGTCTGTCTATGATAAATTCATATCTCATCATGTGATAATAATATTACATAATCGTCATGATCCATCAGGAAATTTCACCAAATTTTCACGACAAATTCTAACTTATTCTTAATTTTGTTCATCAATGCTGTTTTTAAGTTTATCGCGAATTGTCTTTGCATCTGTTTCCACAATAGTCCGAATTTTAATAATGTATCAATCAAATTCATTATTCATTCTTCAAAGTTTTTCTTTTGGTGTCAGTGGATTTGAGTGTGGGTGGTTTGTGAATGTGGGCCGTGGACGTAAGTGTGCGTGTCGGCATCTGTATAAATGTCAATCATTTTCAAACCCACCGACAGTCACACCCACACGCTAGTTTTGAACATATCAATCAGGCCGTTATCCAGATGCCATTTTTCTAAACCTTCCTTGCTATCACATACGGATTTCTCATATACCATTGATTCTATTTTTACAGTTCAAAACATAATTACACGGTTTCTGATTACTAGTTCGCTTTTCATTCGTGACATAAAAAAGTTGAATCAAAAGTCTTCCAGTTAGATTTAAATAAAATAAAAGGACATTTCCACAACAATAACTATCAAAATAGTACTACCTATGTAATGAAAACAGGGAAAAAATTGGAGGTTTTACCACTCCAGTTACCGACTCTTTTACAAAGAGAAATCAATTGTTGTCTCCGGTTAACTGCGGTATACCACTGGTTTTTCTCACTTTACCGATTAACGGATGATTTTTGTCGGTAAACCGCGGTTTACGACTAAACGTGATTCGATTTTTATGACATTGGTAAGAATGTGTAGGATTGATCGTTTCAAATAAAGATGAGCTTAGAGAAAAGGATCTTTCGTAATATTTTTTTATTTCTACAATGAAAATACTGATGTTTTGGCAGTACTATCAAAAGTCATACCTAATACAGGGTCAGAATAGTTACTTTGTTTGATGACATCCAGAATCTTTCAATATATTTTTCCAATAAAATAGCACAAAAAGATAAAACAGAGCTTATTTCAAGAATTTTTCTTAAATTTCCATGGTTCTCCAAAATTCTATTTCTTTTTATAAACGGATCAACTCGAGCCAAAAAGGTTTTTCAAGTGATTTAGATTATCCAGTGTCTCGGAAAGCACTAAAAAAATAGGAATCCTTTCGGATGGATATTCACCAGAATCAATTAACATTTATATCGTACAGAGTTCGTTTTTATTATATTGATGAGTTTATGTTTGATGCACTACCAAAGAGAAACAGTTTGTTAACATCGTTACTTCCTCGACTCTTCACCAAAGAAGCGGGACAAGGCTTTACATACACGTTTGCGAACGACCTTTAATGCATCAACTGCATGGCCTTGAAATTCTGGTATTATATTGTCTATGAATCTAATAGCATAATAGAGTAGTTTGTCGTCAAGCCGATCATAGACAAATGTATCTTTAATTAGCGACTTAAAACGTCCTGTATATGTATTCATCCATGTTATATCTTTTAGAGCATCACAAAAAATATGAAGTTCTTGAAGATTGTAAGGCGTATCATCTTTGTACGTAGCCCACCATTTTTCTATATTTTCACTATAAGTAAATAATGTCACCATCTTTTGGTTATGTTCCAAAATATGCGCTCGACATCTCTGCCTATTCTCAAATACTTGAAGAAATGACATCAACTGTGCATTCGGCAATGGGATGGCTAAACCGACCTCATCCAACTGATAAAGTAGGAGAGTCCAATAGCTGCCTTGTTGATAGAAAGGATCGGACAGAACATGTTAAATCGATAGCATCTAAAATGAAACAAATGAAAAATATCATCGTTGAGAAAATGGAACAGAAATGTCCGTTATAATCGTTTTAAAACAGAGATGTTCATCAAGGCTATCAACCTGTTACTAGCGTGCGACGATGAACATTTCTCTTTTAAAATTCTGCAAGAAAATCACAGAGTTTCTTCGCTTTTGAAAAGAACAAACAACCCATGGGTGCTTCTAATTCTTATTCCTTTGGTTCCCGCAGTTTTATGGCTTCGTCGATTTTACATGCGTTCGAGTCGCCAACTAAAACAGCTCGAAAGTGTAACACGTAGTCCTATTTATGCATTGTTCTCATCAGCATTAGATGGTACAATAGAACGAATTATTTATGACTGTCTCAGGGTAAAAAAAGTCACATCTTGTTAGATATCCCATCAACTTAATGATGAACAAAGGAAGAACGAGTTAGACTTTCTTGCGAAGATTTAGCAAAATTTCGCGGTGGTTTCTGGCGATTATGTGATATTATAACAGATGATGAGACGTAGTTTTACTATAGACAGATTCATCACAAGTCAACAAACAGAAGCTGGGTTGGCGAAGATGAATCGCCAAGTACTATCGTTCGTCGAAGTAAATTTGAATCAAAAAATTTATTTTCTATATTCTTTAAATCAAATGGTCTTGTTCTTATGCATGCTATTGATGAAGGCAAGATTATAGAATACAATTGAAAATTGCCTCAAGCCTAATGTCAAAGAAACACGGAAGCAAAGAAAGTCAGAAGGTATAAAAGATATAAAATTTCTTCAAGACAATCTCGACCCATACTCATTCCGATGTTATTAATTATTCAAACGAAGAAGGTACCATTATAGTGCAGTATCCATCATATTCACCTGACCTTGCACCATGTGATTATCGGCTAAATGATTATATCAAGCGTAATCTAACTGACCAATCAAATGAAAAATCATTAAAAGAAAAAAGAATCACCTCGGTCATTTTTTTTGTACGCATCGTGTACGTCCATTGTTAGATCGACACGAGTCATTTCTTTCAAGATGGTTGTTTTTCGCTGAAACGAATTAGTGCAAAAGAACGAGCGAATGTAATGTCTTAACCTTTTTTTTTCTCTATCGCTCTGTTCCTTCACTCTCTCGTATTTTTCTTTCTTTCCTTTCTTTTTTTCTTCTTTGTTTAGTCTCTTTTATATACCTCTTAACATCCTTACAAGCGTAATCTAATATTTGTCACAACTATATTGATAGCCAACAGTGAAACTCTTTGCACTAATGATGTTGTTTTCGGCTTAAAGTTCTCAATTTTCTTTTTCCATTATCATGTAGGCACCCTCGAGTGTTACATTCCCTAGCATAATAAAAAAAATGAAAAATCATTGGCCTGTGTGATATCCAAAGTGGTGATAAATATTTCAGAAGAAGAATTTCAAAAACTTTTGACAAACTACTAGCAAGGATGGAACTTTGTATAAATAATCATTGTGACTATTTTGAACATTTTATAAAAAAGAACTCGAACTTTCTCTTTCTCTTTATATTTTTGTAACGATCTCAGAACTTTTAGTCAGTCCTAAGTAAAAGATATACCACAACTTTTTCATAATCAAATAATGTTATTTATTCATCCTCTCATATATTTCACCTTTTATTGATTTAATTATGAATCCATTATAGAGTTATTTTGTCTTTATCGGATTATATGATTATGTTCTTTTAGTCCTAAATGAGTGCATTTCATCATAAGTTTTCTTTAATAAGATATTTTAATAATTTCAAATAAAATATGCCCGTATGAGAAAGAATGAGTTGGAAATAATCTACATTTATTGTTAATAATGAGAATTTTTTTTTTAATTTGTAGATACAAACAACACCAAACACAAAGAATATTA